CATAATAAAAATATATAGGGGAATACATATGTCAACCAAATAATCCATAAACCAATTTTCAAATTAAATTAATGATTCTTGAATTTTCAAAATGTGTCACGAAAAATACAATTGAAAGACTGCGACATGGGTTGGGTTGGTATCAAGTTGACCGCTATAGGGTTTGGAGGGTTTGCACAGGTTTGATTCAACCCTAACCCGACCTTCCCATGCTTCCACTCAAAGCCAACCCAACGCTGACTAAACACTATGCAATTTCTGATCCTGCCCCAACCTATGGGGTTCAACTTGATACCAACCCAACCTGCCCAGTAGTATTTTAATTGTATTTTTTGTGATACTTTTTGAAATCTCAAAGGCCATTAATTTGAAAAATTCAAATATTATTTTTTTTTTGAAATTTTTAATAATTTTCAGGTAATTTCAAAAAATTATTGGTTTCAAAAATTAACTTTGGTAATGAAAATTATTTATTGATATTTTCAATTTACATTGTTTTATGGTAATTATTAAATATTAAATTAGAAAATTTTTAGGGAATTTTCACTAATTTCCCTAACTATTTGGGAGATTTAATGTTTTTTTTTAAGTTTTAATAATTTCCATAATTATTGGTAATTTACATTGCTTTTTGATATTTATTAGGAAATTTTGATTTAGTGATTTCCATAATCTGCTTTTCATGTTTTTGGTAATTTAGTTTAGTGAAAGTTATTTTTAAAAATCTAATTTACTGATTTTTTTTGATATTTTTTTGGTAACTAATTATTCATTAATTCAAAGTATTTTGAAAATTAATTTATATCAGTTCAAATTTATTCATGTTTTTTTTGAAAAGTAACTTATTCAGATCAATATTTGTAACAAGGATTTTTAGGATATTCAAGTTTTTCTTTCTATATATATATATATATATATTTTGTTATACAAACAACAATAAATAGAGTTTTCTTACTAATTTAGTTTTGATCATCACTTGCCAAAGTGTCAACTGGTTGGTTAGTAAGGTCTCTTGCTATTTAAGAGATGAATTCCCCCCTCCCCGCCCCCCAACATTGACCTTTGGAAAAAAAAAACTCCCTTAATATATTTCAGATCATTAACTAATAAAATTAGTCAACTTTTTGATTTTTCTCATGGGTTGCATGTGGCTCACTAGTATGTTATTCAATAGATTTATAATCATTTCAACTCAAATAAATGTTAATTAAGTGTTAATTAAACCAATTTAGATTAATTGTTTTTTTTCTTCTTTTAAGTAAATCTTCTTTCCAAAGAAAACTTTTAATTAAAAAATAAAAAAAGAATTTGGGGATTTGGGTCAAGATGGGAAACCCATCTCCATTGGAGATGAAGGTAAAAAATGGAGAGTTCGGAATTGGAGATGGGAAGTATGCATGGTTCAAGCTCCAAACCCGACCTGTTGCCATTCCTAGCAGCTTATATCTATGAGAATTTGGTGAAGCATGTAAAGATTAGGATTGAAGCAATTCAAAGTATCCTGAGGGGCAATGGAGAGCTCTTGAGATGACAAGTCTCAATACAAAGAAGTCAGTTGAACAGTATATTGAGATATATGATACTGTATGTATGTATGTATATAGTTTTTATTTTCAATTTTGTTATACTATTTTATTGTAATTTTTTTAATTTCATTTTATTCTTTCATATATAAACATTTGTATACATCAACTCCTTTTTTAAATTTATTGTCTATCTTATTAATTTATTTTATATAATTTTTAAAAATCATGCTCCCAGGGATCAGCCCGGGCCTTGTCCTGTGCCAGGCTTCCCTCTTGACGGGTTCTAGGCCAGACAGGCACGGCCCACTACAATGCAGGTGGCCCGCAAAAGTGGGCCATGCCGGGCCATCAAAGCCCAGCACGTACCTTTGGGCAGGTCATCAAAGTGGTATGACCGTATGAGATACATAGATAGCTTGTGGACAATCATGTTGTTGGACATATAATAGATTTACAATGAATACAGACGCTTATTAGTTTAGATCTCACACATAAAACATGCTTTTGGGGAGCCATTGCTAAATCCCAATGGTAAAATCTCGGTCTGGCAACTGATCATAAGAATGTGGTTTGAATCTGGTAAATGGCCACTTTGTACAAGAAAATGCTGACCGTGGACCAATATTGGGTTATTGACCTTTTACAGCAATGTTTTCAAAACCGGATCAGACTGGACAGTCAGACCAGAAAAACTGAGAATCGGTCAACTGAACGGTTCCGTTTTACCTCGAAATTGTTATTTGGCCAAAAACTGTTGATTTGGTCAGCAAACTGCTGACCCAGGAATGATTTTTGAACGTTTTTTGGGTTTTTTAAATTTTTATTTTTTATTTTTTGTCAGAGCAGGCTGTCCTTTCGGACCGGATGGTCGGACCGTTCGACCTGGGAACTGGACCCAGAACAGTTCCCTGTCCGGTCCAGTTTTAGAAACCTTGCTTTACAGTACACACGCCTTTCTTATTGGCATTATCAAGGAGTTTTTTTTTTTTTTTCAATGTTTCTTCCAAAATTTGAGGTGATGAATCTTGCTTGAAATGTTTGCAGGCTGAAAAAGAAGCAAACAAGTACTAATGATATCTTGCTTTTTGGGAGCAATGGTTCAACACTTCAACCCAATTTATGATACCAACATGCTGATTCATGTTAAGTTGTTAACTATATATAATAGAGATCATTAAAGGAGAAATATTCTTAATCATATTGGACTCTGCAAAATAGGTATTTATAATAGACATCTTAATCCCTTGTCATTAGGAAAGAACAATACTCCTATGAAGGTAAAAGGGTCCTTAAAACCTTGTAGGAATTTTCCTTAATGTCTATAAAATTTTCCATCAATTTCTAGGTAAAAATATAGGCTACATTGTTGATGCATAAAGCCAAACCATCTTCAGATCATAAAAGGGAAGCACAGTGAACGAGACTCCCACCAATTTGAAAAAAATCAGATTTGGTCCTCATAAGACCTTGCTCACACCATTTGCAGTCTCTTGCAGCCTTGCATTGGAAATATCTCCCCATGAAAAAAAGTATAGAGATATTCCCAATGCACAGCTGTAAAAGGCTGCGCGAACCGTGTTATATATATAAAAATTTTTCTTATATTTAAAAACAATTAGGTTTAAGTCTAAGAAAGCTCTAGGTGAAGAAAGAACAAGAGTTGGTATAAGAATCTAGAGTTTCTGAAAACCCTAATGTTATAGAATTAATCGAAAGATTTATATTAGATAAGTGGACAAAGAGGTAAAAGATTAGCAGGTGATTCTTATTTATGAAAAGAAATAGGCTTAAGGTGGTACTCTAGGTGCAAGACAGCAAGAGAGCAGCATAATAGTTGATTAAGAATCTAGGTTTCATGAATCAAACCTAACATCATAGAATTATTCAAAATATTCATATTTGAGTAGACAAAAGGCAAAAGTTAAAACTCCAAGTACCAGGTAAATCAATTCTATGCGGGATGATAATTTTGGATAATTCTAATCAGATGACCATGAAATAAAGCAAAGAACCTTTTCAAAACTTAGCTAAGTATGTTTTTCTGCAGGGTACAAAGGAATCGAGAGGATGTAATATGTATCATTATATTTTGCATATGGGCACCTAAGAACCAAGGATTCAAACTAGAGAACTATATATATGAACAAAAGAGCTAGCATGTGCCGATGGCTCATTTCATTCCAAAATCCTTTAGATCAAATCTTTGTGATCAGTTGATCAAATGGTCAATATGGATAGATCTTGAACAATTCGGCATCACATTATAGAAAAGTGACAAAAAGAGGAAGAAAGAAAAGCTGAAAAAAACCATGTATTTGCAATCAAGAAACCAAAGAGAAAATAGAGGAAGGGGGGATCCTGCTCCTAAACTTGTGTAGAAAAAAACTGAGTTAAAACCTGAAGCGAGTTAGAGAATAGATCCTACCAATTGGTTGTTCTCTTTCTTTTCTAGCTCCATATCAAATTATGTATGCACGTAAAAAAGACCATTACTCAATGCTGGTGCTGGCTTTCCAGAGACTTCGAGGGGCAGACTGGAAACAGACCTAACCTCTGAAATTTTTAGCCAGAAGTGCCTACTCCCAGACTCAAATCAGTATTCTCACACTTGTCATCCTGAGATTTCACCAAAAGAAAGCACAAATAACAAGAACCCAATAAACTACAAAAAAGACTACCTAGGAAGAGCACCTCAGCATAATTATTCACTTAACTCCTGGCAGACCATCAGAAACTAGTTAATCACTATTGAAATCCATATCTGCAAGCCAAGGCTCTAGCCTCTGTAATGTGATGGTGAAGTGTCCAAGGGCCATGTACCTGTCTAGCAAATATTCATGTACATATACTTCTCCCTTAAATTATTTCTTTGTCTAAATAAAAAATGCGAAAGTTCAAAACAAAAAAAAGGAAGAAAATCAAGAACAAAATTGAGAAAAAAAGAAAATATGAAAGCAAAAACAGAAGAAAAGAAGAAAAAAGTTTTACCTAGAAGAACCTTATGCTAATTCTGTTTGTACTTAAAGTACTAAAATTATTGATGACATTCATTTCACAATAGATAAATGTTAATTGACAATTCCTCCCAAGCTGCCTCAAAGTTGACAACAAAATTCATCTTGCTCTAAAATCCTATGCTCTCAGGCCACCATAGCATTCCCATAAAATTGGTCCTCATTCAAAGAAGAGAGAAAAACTAGCTGATTATCTTGCAAAAGACCCTGGAAAAAAAACAAGGCCCCAATTTTTAGACGTGTACCTCGAACAGTTGACATTCATAATGTACCTCAGAAGGCAGATACCTCAATTTGAGTTACTAAAGTCCAAATAGAAAATGAAGCATCTTTTCTCCAAAATTCAAAAGAAATAAAAGCAGATGGAGATTCATCTACAGAATATATGTAGCACGTGAGTTTTCCAAACCTAGAATCCACTCATCCAACCAAGAGAAATGCGCAAATAATAAATGCATCATTGTCCTCTAATGGAACTGCCACAAGCAGCTTTAGGCAAAGAATTTTGAACTTGAAGAAGATTGTATTATCAGAAAAACATCAATGTACCTGCGCATAAACTATCATTTTATGGGTTCCACAATCCTGAGATTGGTGGATCTGTTTACCTGATTAAGACAACTTGATTTTGAAAGCATAATTAAGTACAGATATTTGATAACTTGAACTTTGACAGTGGTCAAACAGCACAGCTTGATGAAAGAGCTCGAAGAGATGGACTTAGAAAATTGCTTTCCCATTGGAATCACATGTTAATGTGCACTCAGCATTTGGATTTCTCTTCCATTTTTGACAGGGAACCCCACCTACAACATCCATAAAGATCAACTTTTATAAAGCATATTTTGCATTTAATATAACCTAATAATTCATTAACATTAGAGAATCCTAACTTACTCCTAAAACCTGTAAATCTCTGCTGACTTCTTCTGAAATTCTGGAATAATACCAGATGTATTAACAACTCCAAAAGGTATGGTTGAATGAATTGGTCTAGAATTATCTTGATCCATGTTCTGACTCGGTTTCAGAATGTGCTTTGCTCCTGCACTTAATTTAATGGGACCTGATCTTGACACACCATCCAGTTTAAAATAATTATCGGATGACATTGTGTGTTCTTCCTGAATCTCCAATGGGCAGTGACCAGTAACACTTGTCGTCTCCTTGCATGCATCAGATTCAGCTGCATCTCTATTACAATGTCTATAATTGAACTCTACACTTTCCTTCAATCCTTTCAGAGATCCTGCATCCTCTTGCATCTCTAAGTGGGGTCGTTTTGTGGCTTCTGTTGAATCATCTGCTTTAGAAGCAGGCCTCTTTCTGGATTTCTTTTCATGGTCAGGACCTTTAGGACGAAAAGGCTTTGGCCTTTTTCCATCCTTGATTTTAATCCTGTTTCTAGAAGTTGTGTTCATGAAAGAAGCAGATCTGTACCCTGGTGGAGCAGGCATAAGTGGAGGGTAAGCTAAAGAAGGTGGAGAAGATGAACTTTGCATCTGGGGGTGAGAAGTACTGGGATTATGAGAATAAGATATAATTGGTCTGCTATAAGGAGGAAGGTTGGCTGCAAAATTTGTTCCAGGCATGGTGCAAGGATGATGTTGAGCACTTATATCAGGGTATAACCGAGCAGAAGTGAGGGAGCTCACTTTTGGCTGTGTTGCATTTATTAGCCATTGGGGCAGGCTCCTTGAAGAATTTCGAGAACATGATGGCTGCAAGTACTCTCCAGATTCTTTATTTGAGAAAGGAAAGTGGAAAACTGATGCCGTGCCACATTCCAGGCTCTGTTTGCACTTGAGTTGAGCATTTAAAAGCATATGCTGACAAGCATTGGAAGGAGTAGGTGCAGAAGCTGGTATCTGAGAGAGCATTTTCAGAGGTTCAGTTCCAGATATACAGGGATCTAGGGACTTAGCTGTCTGACTTGGCAATGCCTGAGAAGGGAAAGGATGGAGAAAGCTTTGCAGTTGTGCACCTGGGCTCCTGCTGATCATGGAAAATCCATTTCGTGATGTCACATATGTCTGCCAGTCTGGGTATGAGTGAGCAGATCTAGGCTCTAGTCCTTTCACCTGAAAAAGACTTTGTGAGGCAGGGCTTCTCTTTGGTTCTAATGAATAAGTTACAGTTTCATTTGATTTTTCTGACACTGGATGAACAATCAACTCATGCTGGAAAATTCCATTCAGAGAAGAATTGCTGGAGTCAACAGTGGCAGGACGTTGCTCTGTTATAATTTCCTTGTCTGTCCATATCTTTCCATCTTCAAAACCTTGCACTTCTTTGTTACGAATGCCCACTGTGACATCTTTACCCATCAATCGCATTGTTGGTTGGGTGGGAAGCAGAAATCCACAATCCCGATTCTCCTCTACTTGAACCTGTTCCTTCCCAGTTTGATTCTGAGTTGGAGTATATTGTATGCACCCTGGACAAGATATATTCATGAGGTTCAGGTCTGAATCCAACCGATGGGATGACTGATTGTTTCCCCTCACTGAATCATTCCTGTGAAGTTCTCTGCTTCCAGTACTTGGGAGTCCAGTAATACCTAACCTAGATGGTAAAGGTATCTTAGGGTCCTCTCTTTGGTAGGCCTTATCAGGAAACAACTTTAAGCTGTCTTTTGTAAGTGCTGACTCAACAACATGCATCTCTTTCGCATGTGAGTCATCGATTATACTCTTTGGCTGGATGAAATTGTGCATTGGGAAAATACTGGAAGTCCCCATTGTTGTATTTTGCTTCTTCAGTGGGTACCCTCCTTTCCCACTTGAGTGCAATGGGACAAGTTCCCCTTGTGAATTAAGAGGCAAACCAACAAAACCCTCATCAATGCATTTATCCCTGAATACTGCTCTTTGCTTCTTTAAGTTAACAGAGGAACATATGCTACTCATCAAATCCCTAGAAGACAGGTGACCAAATGATTGGTATGTTGGAACACAAAGGTTGGTCCTTTGAGTGGTGTCTTCGGACATAAATAAAGACCTTCCATTTTTTTCTATGTCTGTAGCTAAACAGGATGATGAGGACTGGATACTTGACTTTATATTTGTCAGTGTACATATTGCAGAAGATCTTGGTATAGAATCTGCAAAAGGATCAAGCAAGTTTCTTCCTGTATCAGGCACCCTTCGAATGTTTACATCGGCTTGAGTTTCCAAACTGGGATGATTAAGCCCCCTGTTTGGAGTAGAACGAGAGAGTCTGGGAATGCCTACACATGAAAGGGAGTGTGATGCAGCTAGGTTACCTTGACCCAACAGATGTGAACTATCATGATTCTGTAATTCCTGGTTCAGGTCTACAAATTCATTTGGGGAATTTCTTTCTTTATCCTGCCAACTTCTTTTATATGGACTTGGAGAAGTTGTTAAAGAAACATGACCATAACCATCAGCCAAACGTTTATTTTCATGTTTAGATAGGAACCCAGTTCCATTTCTAATACCAACTTCAATATCTTCATTATTTCCATCCACCTCCAGAGCCTCAATTTCAGAGGGTAATTCTTTATCGTTTTCCAAAGAGTTGTCACTTAACGATGGAGCATCCATAACATCAGGGAATACTTTTTCAATGCTTTGCACTTGAGGCAACTCAATGCAGGAACACCCATTCTCTGTTGGTCCAAGTATGTCATCCTTACCTGAAAACCTGACATGCCTGTATGATTGTTGACCGCGCCTAAGATTTGTTTGATTCCCACCTTGTATGATGCCTAAAGAAGAGGGCTTCTGGCTGGAAATGACTGTTGTTCTATTCTTCAGAATACTATGAACAGGAAAAGTTGATTCTTCATTCTGCTGTTGTTCTGGTATTAGCTTGGGAATTCGCATAACTTTTCGTGAATATAATCTTTTCATGCTTGATGGTCTCTTTTTTCGGATAACACCTGTGTCTTGGATTTCCTTTTCCAACCTCTTATTGTGTAATGGAACTTTTCGTTGTCCAGAAAAATCAACTGCTGATGACACTTTGAGTTTGCTAATTTTCACCTGCAAAAGAAGAAGCATGCCAATAACGAATCATTACCACATGATGAATTCATATGTGATCCACATGCAAGAAAATTACCATATTTTCCCAAGATATAAATTTGTAGTCACAATAACATTATGTTTAAATTAGGTAAGACATCTCTACATGCCTATAACTATCTGTTCAATCAAAGTTAACGGGCATTTGGTGATAAACATAAGCCTGTTGCATAGGTTTATTTACCAAATGTACAAAAATGGAACCCATGGAGGAAACATGATTTGACAGCACCCAAATTTTTAAGCAATGTTTCCTCTTATCAGAAAATGTAAAAAATTAAAATCAAGAAAAAAAAAAGTCATGCACTTCTGAGAATTGTGACCACTATATACTTCAGAACCAGAAAAATACTTTTAGTAGTGAACAGTAGTTACTCTATCCTGGTAGAATTAATGAGATTAATCAACTTGGTCCCTCAAATATATCTGAGAAGGAAAGTCCGAATCTAGAGAAGTACCAAAGAACATCTATGGTGTTAGTCAGCCATAGCCACATGAGATGAAGTTGAATCTAGAAGTGTACCTATCACCTGACTGTTGACAATCTTCCATAAAGTGCATTTCCTTTATGAAGGAGATCAACTGATGGAAGAGCATACGAAAATATTCTGAAATTAAGATGAGTTAATAAAAAGATAATGTCGAACTTCTCTCGACATGGCTAGGAAACATTTCATTATTGGAAAAGTTCATGAAACCTGTCAATTGGCCCTATAGGTTTAAGGCAGAAGTCAGACAACACTCGGATTGAAGTTATTTTTCAAGAAAGAGAATTATGCATCTGACATGTTCCTACTCTTTGTGCATCCAACATTAAGTGTTCCTGATAATTTTCTTGACTATTTAAAAATTAACCTAAAGAACTTTTAGACTCTTCCAAAGGGGAAGGCCATTTTAAGGAATCCTATTCACTGAAATGGTACAGAGGCAGACTCTTACAAGTATACAGGCAAATAGCATATTGCAGCTTCTTCTCTAACAAGAAACAAACATAATTGTAAAGAAGCAGTAATGCAGAGAGCAATCAAACATCAGTGGTGTCCGGGGAACATAATTTATTATTTTTGAAGTATTTTGGGCATCAGGGTTAATATGGTCATTTCAATTGATTCTATAGGAGTTTGATAGTAGAGCTTTGTCTTCTGAGTCATCTTTCATGTGTCCAAGGTCATTAGTTACAAAAGGCTCCAGTTTTTCTTAGGTTAGGTGCCCCCTACAGGAACCCATAAATAATCATTATATCTCTAATTTCAAACCTAGTGAATGAATATTCACTTACTTTTGCAAGTACCTTAGCCAAGTTATTTGCCATACCTTAGATTCCTATAACAAGCTAAAGTGGTTTTTAGTAATTTAGTAATTATCTTTTATGTTTCTTCTCCATTTTCTTTAGCCAAGTTATTTGCCAAACCTTAGAGAGTGATAAAGTGGTTTTTAGTAATTTAGTAATTATCTTTTATGTTTCTTCTCCATTTTCTTAGTAATTTAGCATTTATCTTTTATGTTTCTTCTCCATTTGCTTTAGCCAAGTTATTTGCCATACCTTAGAGAGTGGTTCCTATAAATCATTTCAGGGCATAATGTTTTGATTGTTTATTACCTCAATCTCTAACTTTTGCAATGATTAGAACCAATCATCAGGTAAGTAGGCATTTGCTTTCTTAGTTTTCAAATTATATATTTCTGTCCATAACCTAGAACCTACCTAACCCAAATTGCAGACTCTAGAGAACCTCCAAAGCTCAGCTACCGCTTAAGGTAACCATAATATAAAAGCCATTTTGAGCTGTTCAGGTTATGTAGGAACTAATGATAGTCTTCCATCCTTTATGGCCTAAACTCAGACTCCATAGCCCTATTGGGTTGCCCATCATTATAAAGCCTAATAAGAGAAAATTTTCTAAATTTTACCGAACTTCCCTTATCTGTCCTAAATTGGCCTGTTAAAGATTTAATTATCCAAAGCTTGCCCCACATCAGGCAGATAACAAGCAGGACCATTCAGAAGAAGTGCAGAGAACAAACACATTATTGCTGTTCTTGAGATCCTAAATGATGTGTTTCTCTGTCCCTATTCATTGTGGGGAAAAGAATAGGGACTTGGTATCTAGATAGAACCTGAGCAGAAGAGTTAAGAAGAAAATACCATAGAATCTAGGGTCCATGCAACATTGGGTGCTTGATGATGCAGATAAGAAAATATTCCTTGGTGAAATAAATCAGTTTTATAATCCCTATACAAATTTCAGAATTTTAGGGTGACTGAGATATTAGTATTTTTTTAGTTTTTTTATTAATTTTCTAGTTTGGGGTGTCTTGAGAATTTTTAGAAAATCAAAACATAGCCCTATTCCTATGAAACCAACAAACTAAAAAGTAAATTTAAAAGCTCAAAAGAAATCAAAATTACTATTTATAGTAACTTTATAGTAAAGTCATGTTTAAGGGGCTAGAAGGGCAAGGGCCAGACCAAAAGGACATGGGTTGAAGTAGTAAGGACGACTTAAGTGCTAATAAATAAACAATGGACATGGCTATATGTTACAGAATGGCAAAACGGAACAGTGTTTTAAAAGGCATAGGAGGCATACACCTGGAGGCACGTCTCCAGGTGAGGTGCCCCCAAAATGCCCCGAGGCATTGACACCTCTAAGGTGTATGCCTCATGCGCCTCACGCACATCTTATATAAAATTTGCAAAAAAAAAAAAAAAGAAAATAATAAAAGGAAAGGAAAAGAAAGGGAGGGGAAAGATAAAGAAAGAAAGAGAGGAAAAAAGAGAAAAAGGAAAGAAAAGGAAAGGGAAGGGAAGATAAGGGGAAAGAAAATGGGCAGGGGGCTCTGCCCCAAGACCCCCCCCCCTTCAACTAGTGCTATGCATTTTCATTCTTCTTAACATAAAGATTTTTGTTAAAAATAAAGAAAAATGAGATCATCCTTCCTCTTCTTCTTCCTCCCCTTCCTCCTTCCTCTTCATCCTGCACCTGTCACTGTTACCCGGTTGTACAAACCTATAAAAATTTATGAGGTGAAGGAATCTATAAAAACCCCATTATAGTCATTCTTGTAATTTCTATTTATAGTAAAATCATGGTTTACATTTTTAATAATTTCTTAATTCTTTACACTAAGTTAGTTTTAGTAGGTTTATTTAAAATGATATTGAAGTATGAAGTTGTCTTATGAGTTAAGAGACCATGTTTGACTATCCCTGTGGGTTTGACTTAGTGATAAAACAATTAGATTTATTTATTTATTTTTGGCTATTAAGACAAGCCTATGGGAGTGGAACTTGTGCCTTCTGTGGTCTAAGACAACATAAAGCTTACTATAAACACAACCTCGAATTATTTCAAAAGTGAGCCTTGCAAAATGAAGGATTCAAATAGTCAATAAGCAACTTTTGAAAGTAGAAAGCATCCAAATCCAAATCAGGGATCTAGAGCCAATGATATTATAATTCAAGTTTAATAAAAATCTTCAATTATTATTTTTATTGCAAAGTTAATAGTAGGAAAGTACAATATGTAGAGTTGCAAATGTGGCAGTTAAGTACTGATTGTGGCAAGGCTTGCCAAGCCCCAATCGGGCCTGAGCTGCAACAAGCCTAACCCTATCAACACTTAACCCATGCATATGCAGATTTTGTTGTGAAATAAAGCAGAAGAGACATATCAGTGTCGCATGCAATGCTTTAAAAACCAACCAACACGGAGGCAGAACCATTTTGGCCTCCAGGTCGTGGGTCACTAATTCGACCATGACACATCAACACATGTATCTCTCTCTCTCTCTCTCTCTCTCTCTATATATATATATATGTATATATTATATTTCAGTTTTTAATTTTTTTTTATTTGTAAAAAATGTTAAAAGTTGGGATTTGAGGCCAAAAAATGGTTTTTTTAGCAAAAAATAGTGGGGCAAGGGGGAGTAAATATATATAAAAAAAGTTACCCAAAAAATGAGTTAATGGTTCAATCACCTGGGTCAAATGAGTCAATGGTTCATCCACCCGGGTCAGATGATTTTTTTACCAAGTCAACGGTTTGTGACCAAACCCCAGATTTTAGGAAAATCAGATCTGGAATAATGGGCCAAGTGGCGGTTTGAATAGTTCAATTGTCCGGGTCAACGACAGAAGGTTGATAACATTAGTTGCATGGACTATCCTAAATGGACAACATGCACAACATGCCCATGTTTGGCATGCATTGGAGTTTGAAACTCCATGTTCATGGATTCTTGAGGACACTTCTACATAACATTTCTTTTCTACCTCCTGACTTATTTGACATAATGAACAACTAATGCGCAAGATAGAAGCCATTCATTGTATAAAACATTACTTGGTAACAAAGGCAACATTCTAGACCACTTTTTACAGGTATAAAATGATAGAGTTTAAAAAATATGAACTACTTTAATAGTATATACTTTTCCATAGGCATGTCTACAAGTCCATGTTTTCACATCTTGCCAAGTCAAACTCTTGCACATGCATTGGATTCTGACTCCCATGGCCATGTCCATACAACACTGACTCAGACACATACATAACATTAATAAACATATACAAGAGGACTCTATTTAATTTTATTCCTATTAAGGAAAAATGATGGAAGTATGGTAGACGAAAATGTTTTGGGCTGACGTGTGAGATTGTGGGTTCAAGACTGAGTGGCTGCTTCATGCTGAAAATGTCAAGATTGATAAGTAGGAAACTTGGCCAATTGACTTTCTTTTTTATTTATTTTCTAAGGAAAATGTGTCAAGGCTTGTTTTCTCTTAAGCATGAAAAGGCACATATGCATATGCACAAAAAAGAAGCACTAAGGCTTCTTTCTAGATTATTCCGCCACTGCTACATGGATGGATGTTTTTCTATGCTAACCAGAAACAGCAAGGACACAACTAGATATGGTGTTATGCATGGATGTTGTGATATGCTAACCAGC